TGTGTTAATGTTATGTAAATCTGACTTTTTATATGAAATAGTATTGATATATAAGATATTCTATTTATGTACCTAGATGACTATCATGTTTTATTTATACCTACGGCAGTAAGTTTATTGTCAAGGTCAGCCAAGGAGTTTAGTTCAACTATTCAGATTTTTAAAACTGTTAAGGTATACTTGAAAATATTTTTTACAATCTATTCAAGAATTAATTTATCTCGTGTTATGTTTAGTGGTCCTAAGCTTACTGAATGAAGTTCCGTAGTATTGTAGTTAGCTTAAGTTCATAGGATATATATAATTAATTTATATTTATTTATTTAATTCATGCTGTGTGACTTGGCCGTTGAAGGGTACACAAGGATGAAAAACGCGGTGCAAGACACCATTGCACCAGTCTATCGCCAGAACTGCTGTTTATTTAATCAACTTTTCCCTAATGGCAGTTTTCCATCTTCAATGGGTAGCAGCTCAACGACCAAGTCACACAACATTAACTTTAATAATACAGAAATCCTAGTAAGGAACCTTAGATATCATAAATTAGAAATTATTTACTTTTTAAAGATGGACAAGGGGCTCCATCGAGACTTTGCTAGTTTTTTACAGAATGTTTTTGGTTGGATTTGTTCTATTTGGTGCAATAATTTGATAATAATGCGTAATTAAATAACTATCTACATATAAATTTATCGCATAAATTGAAAATTAAATCCTTAATAGGTGCGATAATATTACACAAAAAGAAATCCCCGTTACCCAACACAAAGTATTAAAAATAATCAACAAAATGCAAATATTTCTAGTTTTTCAAAACTTCTGTAGTCGTTGCGACATTTTGTCAAAGTGCACTAAATTTTTTTGCGTGATGGTGGCCAAAGGTACCTACCTACATAAAGATTAGGTATCCGTGTAGGTATCTTAATATCAACGTCTTGATATATTATCATTCTATACTGCATCGAGTTAGCAATCTGTAACTTCATAATGTGAAAGAAAAAAATATTTGTCTGTTTGTTCATTTATAAATACAGATTAAGCTTTGTAACTACTGAATCGATGTTGACAAATATTTCACTATTGCATAGGTTTATTTTTACGCTATAATATAAGATATATAGCGTAAAAATAAACCTATCCAACTCTAGAAAAACATTTTCTTTACATAGATTTGCTTTTGTGTTTAATAAGTTACTTGCTAAAATTCTATTTAATATTAAACGCTATAGAAGTTGAAATAGGTATCTTATGCTTACAAGCATGTTACAATTTGATCTTAATCGAAAAAACTGTCTAAAATAGATATTTTTTATGGAATAGGAGGCAAACGAGCAGACGGGTCACCTGATGGTAAGCGATCAGCGCCGCTCATAGACAGCCGCAATACCAGTGCAACACAGGTGCATTGCCGGCCTTTTAAAAAGGATTTTTTAAGGGGGGAAGATCATCGAATGACTGCTCCCGCCTGGGTGAGGCGGGAAGGAGTGTCAGACTCTTACTGACTTTGAACCCACTCCGTTCCTACTCATGCACTTCGAGTCGGAGCTGCGGTAACCCGTTAGATTCTCCGCAGTTTCGTATCGGCATCAGCCCTATTGGGCCATCCGTGGTGGTCTGATGGCTCTTTAAGGCGCGCGCGGAACGCTTGGCGCCGTACGCTCGGGTCTGGTTCTGGTCAGGCGACGAGCCACCCATGCTGACCGTCCGCAGGCCCGCACTTACGGTGGCCAGGTATACGCTGTTTTCTTGTAGGTTTGAAGGTCATAACCGTATTATGCAAGAGAAACCACGAGTGTACTACTTAGGTACCATGATAAGAATCTACGACAGAATAAATGACATGTAGGTATAGGTATATGTTTCAAATATTCGCGATAAAAATTATTTTTACACAATCATCCAAACATATTGTCGTCATATCTTGGCGATCATCTGTTATGCGTGAATTATTATTGACAACGAAATAGCAGTAACAAAAGCATTGTCATTGTCGTTTTTTTTTGCAGTAATATACGTACCTGATTAGGTACACATCAAACTAAAATTTCCAGTATAAACTGGTTTCTGAAAGTACGGAAAGATCATACAATGTAAGACCATGATAAGCTATATTCTTATAGCTCAACTAGGTGATCCGGCGAACTTCTTACCGCGTAATACTCTAACCTACTCTACCCTACTCTAACCTACTCTACCCTACTCTACCCTATTCTAACCATACTCTATCCTACTCTACTGTACCCTAATGAAAAATAGACTATCCTATCTCTCAAGTTGGATCGAACTGCACATGGTGTGCGAATTTTATTATAATTGGTTAAGTGGTTTAGGGGTCCATTGAGGACATTGAGGACACGAGATTTATATATATTAACATTTGTAAACTGTGTGCTAGAACAGTTGTGCATTTGCTATATTATAAGTAGATAGATAGCTAGAAGGTCATACATATTAGTTTACTCGTGGGTTGGCTGCGCGATATTCACCACGTCGTTTGTAGCGTGAGCATTGCTCTTGACTATGAGCCCCTACCGTGTCTCAAAACTAGTTGAGTTACAAAATGTTACGTGATAAGCCGTATAACTACAATAATATATATAATATCATGAAACTATGGCTAAGAAAGTCTTTTCTTTAATACCTTTAAATACCTCTAAATAGTATCTCGACTTGAGCTAGGCATTTTATTACCGAAGAAAATCTCTAAACCAGATTTGTTTTTAGGAAATAATATTATTGTCTATATGTTTTTGGCATTTTACGCAGGTATCAAAAGACTCCCCTTTTCATCCATAATAAAAAAAGACATAGTATAACATAAAATCACGCCATTTATCCCCGAAGAGATAGGCAGAGGTGCACATTACGACACTTAATGCCACTGTACATTATAACACCCACTTTTCACCATTTATGTTATAAGTCCCATGTAATAGGGGGTGAGCCTATTGCCATATACTAGGCACAATTCCAGACTCCGTGCTACCACTGACAATTTTATAAAACTTACTAATACTTTGCCTGAACCAGGAATCGAACTCGAGACCCCTAGCCCGGCAGTCGCACTTTCGACCACTCAACAAACGATGGAAATAAAAAAACCTAACAAAATAAACACGGACTCTTATTGAACATTAATCGAAAAATCCTACTTTGTTAACTTTTACTAGACTGATGCTTGCAACTTTATAATAGGTCTCTGGAGCAATGATGGGGGTTTTGTTTTTAAGTGGGGAAATCATTGAATGACTGCTCCCGCCTGGGTGAGGCGGGAGGGAGTGTCAGACTCTTACTGACTAAAAACCACCCCGTTTCTTCTCCTGCACGTCGAGCCGGAGCCCCGGTAACCCTTTAGGTTCTACGCGACAATGATGGGGGATGATGATTTACCACTAAGACTGCTGCCACATGCCGTCAAGTTCGCCATCTTTAGAATTCTTTATGATATTCAGTAAGAGTTCCTACTCCTACTCTTCTAACCGGAGCTCTGGTAACTCGTTAAATCATCCGCAGCTCTGGATCGGGCATCAGTCCTACTAGGCCTCCTCTGTGGTGGTCTAATGGCTCTTAGATTACCATACGCCTAAGATTTGAAAACTGGAGGACCTTCCCTGACCAGGCTTGGTGTCCTTTACTGTTGAACTATTATGAGTTTACTACTCATTAGGAATAGGTTATAATCACAGTTTAAGCGTTATATTCGATGTTATACGTCGTTTGCGTCACTGTCAGAATCAGCCGGATGATTCGCAAAATAGTTTTCTTATGTGGTCGCCATATTGTCATATTCACAACTTATTGACATTATCTGTACCGATGTACATAGGTCCAGGTATATAAATAAACATTCATATTTAGTATATCATCGCGGGGTATCATGCGTCCACAATCATATTATAATCCTGATAAAAGTAATAGGCTATAAATAGGTTCCGTATTAATTTGTACTCTAGAATAGGTCTTGCTATTTTACATGTCTTTTTTACATAACATAACATCATGTCTTTTATCCCCGAAGGGGTAGGCAGAAGTGCACATTATGCCACTGTACAATGTAACACCCACTTTTCACTATTTATGTTATGAGTCCCATGTAATAGGGGATGAGCGTATAGCCATATACCGGGCACAATTCCAGACTCCGTGCTACTACTGACATTTTTTTTAAAACCCAGTAATTCTTTGCCCGTCCCGGGAATCGAACCCGAGACCCCTTGCCCGACAGTCGCACTTGCGACCACTCGGACAACGAGGCAGTCTTTTTTGTTAAAGTTTATTTATCAACATGTCTTAAACCTTTTTAAAATAATTTCATTACAGGATCCTCTGTTTATTTATTTATGTAGAATAAAAACTTCTTTGTCCGTCAGACGCTCTTACAGGAATTTCATATTGGATCCAAGGACGTTGAAAAAAGGCGGGCCATAGTCTCTTGAAACCACCACTGTGGCATCTGACTGCTATAGACTTACACGTAGAATACACACACATTCATTACGGTGGTACACGCACACATAAATACACCACAGGCGCTTTGGCGCTTCAATTATTTCTAAGTAACATTACGACCGCGTTATTTTCAACATCCTTGTTATGAGTTAGAGGTATAAGTATGGGTTATGATGTCTTTTGGCTACGGGCCTTCATGGCTTCTCCGGACCATATGCTATATTCCATAGTCATGTAATTTTTTAAATCAAAAGACAATGGAACTCACACTTAGAGGTATATACTTAGTACACTGCTGTAAGTCCCTATATTCTTGTATGGCTCATATCTGCGAAAACGATGCAAATTCGAAAGTCCTGACAAACTATACTTGACGAACGAGGTGACTCTGAAAAACAATAAACAATGTTACCACCACATTTCACAATAATGACTTGCAAAACATATTAAGGTATGATTACGATACCACCTAACCCTAAAACCTATCAACACAGATTTTATACAATGATTTTCGATCAAAATATAAATAAACGACAAGATACTGATAAACCATATAGTCCACTTTAACGTGGAATATAATACACGCGAAAATAAATCATTTAGATAAAATTTATTTATTTTAAGCACATTACGTTTAATATTATTACCGAAAACTTTTATATAAAGGGCGGTAAAATAACTGTGATATTTCAAAAATGGGTGCCGAAGTTGGCATTGGAAGACAATTCTTGATTGCGAGTTGCTGTAAGTTTTTTATTAGTATGATATTTATTTAAGTATTATTTATTGTAGACTAAAAATATCCCCTATTAATAGGGTAAGTTACCACGTGACCATGGTTGGCAGTCTACTGGCCAACAGTTACAATCTTTGAATCTCTCTTTCACTCTCAATCTCTCTTCCACTCTATAGCACTATCAATTTGTTTACCGCTCTCAATATGCATATTTTATTTCCACTCTCTCCTTATTACTAGCCTCGGCTCTAACTCTCTCTTATTCAATTTCTAATCATCTTTCACCACTTTTCTAATTTCTATATCTCTGTGCTCTCAATCTCTCTTTAAATTTCTTCCTAGCTCTCTATCTCTTTCTGTCTTATGACCTCTTTCACTTTTATCTCCTTTCTCTCACTCTCTCTTTCATTTCTTTTTCATTCACTCTCTATTTCTCTACCAACTAATTAATCTTACGCAGTGGCTGGGCAACTGGCTGCCGCGAAACGTGTAGTTATATAGATATATAGATTCCCGCACGGAGCAACTCTTTGTGAGATCCACAAACAGTTGTTTCGGGTCTGAGTGACATGTGTATGTGAACTTGTATGTTGGTAAACGCACCTACGATACAGGAGGTAATCCTAGTGTGGAGCAAAGTTTATTTAAAATTAAATTAATAATACATTAAATTACTTTATTTTTATAACCTTATCACACTATCTAAATGATTGCATTCATGTGGTATGATTAGAATAAATTATCAAACTTCTGCTTCAAAAAAGGGAGTGGAATAGAAACGTAAATTGGATAAGGAAAATTTAGTCTTTAGTATTTTTTTTTATTATTTTTTTCAGTATACTTAGGTCAGTTAATGTGTGGCTACGGATTAGGATGGCCAGCTCCTGTATTAGCTTCACTGCAGAATCCAGAGCAAACCATATTGGATACTCCAATAACTGTCGAACAAGCATCCTGGATTGCGTCGTCTAGTTTTGTTGGATTCCTTACCGGTAAGAAAATTATAATTTTCATGACGAAATGACCAAATAAGTTAGATATTTTAAAGGGTAAATATCTAACTGTATGTTATCTGTAATGTGTAATGTGTTTGGTGTGAATGTGGAGATAAATGAAGAAAGTGATCATAAAGTAAAAGTAGTTTAAATAAATCACCTAATTTCTTGATCATATTTTCAGGTCCCTACGTCTCTGGGTACCTCTGTAATGCAGTTGGCAGGAAACCCTGTCTGTACTTTGGTGGCGTATTCCTAGGTCTCGGGTTCATGATCCTGGCATTAGCCAAACATATAGCTGTCATGTATGTTGGTAGAGCAGTCGTTGGCTTTGGTACTGGAGTGCTATTCGTCACAAATCTTGTGTATCTTGGAGAGTTGGCGTAAGTATCTACAAATTAATATTGTTCATGAATATTTTTCCTGAACAGAAAATAAATTAGTCAGCAATAACGTAACAGATTTCAATTATAATTAAAAAAATATCGATTATTCTTTTTGGCCCATTTTATTACTGATCTAATGCATTCTTTGTCTCCTCTTCTTCTTGATGCTACCCATCAGACTGTCAGTAAGAACTTGAAGAAAAGGCAGAACAGAACTGCAACCTGCTTAAGAACACCTTCCTTATCTTCCAGATCAATACGAAACCGTGGCACTCTTCTCACTCTAACAGGATTCTCAAGTACTTGTGGTACTCTCATAGCCTACTCCGTTGGACCATTTGTGTCGTACGCTGCAATATCATGGATAGCATCGGGCATCGCTGTTGCTTACATCATTGGAGTATTCTTCATTGTTCCTGAAACTGCTGTATATCTTGTCATGGCAAGTAAGTTTAAAACTTTCACCATGTCTAGCAATACTTCTATAAAATTTTGAAATAGAAAACGAATAAAAAAAAATATATGTGTTTTAGAAACTGAAACTACACAACATGCTGGACAGTCTATAATATCAATTCGATTAATTAAAATTGTATGGAACTCGAAGTCCTTTTGAACCTATTGTTTTCTTATGTAAGATTTTTTTAAGTGACTGTTTGTTTCCTAAATAAAATAAAATGATAAATAAAAATTTATAAAGCAAGCGCTATGATCAAGGTTTAATATTGATTTCTAAATGCACTAAAATCCTTGATATTTTCAGATAGAAGAGACGAAGCAATGGAACTCCTCACATCACTGGGCAGAAAAGATGACATAGATGATGTAGTGGCTAAAGCAAATGAAAAACCAATTTCATACAAAGCTCAGATGGCTGAGATGTTCACCATAAAATCAAATCAGAAAGCACTATTTTTGATTATTACATTAAACATTATGCAACAACTGAGTGGAATTAACATAGTGTTATCTTTTTCTACGACTATTTTCGAAATGACTGGGTCGTCTATGGAGTCCCATATATCTACCATAATTGTTGGAGTCACACAGGTCGGTGCAGCGAGTATTGCACCTCTATTTGTAGATAGAACTGGACGGAGGATTCTTTTGTTGATTTCTACTGCAGTCTGTTCTATAAGCTTGGTAAGTTCATCATCATGTCTATTTCATAGTATATTTTCTGTTTTTAATTTGTTTTAGATAATGTGTTCAGCATTGATTTTAATTCTATTATATCCTTTATAGTTTTGATATAGTCCAATCTTTCGCACACATAACTTTTATTATTTGTATCTATTTCATGTACTCTCCTCGTTCGCCGAGTGGTCGCTAGTGCGACTGCCGGGCAAGGTGTCTCGGGTTCGATTCCTGGGTCGGGCAAAGTATTACTGGGTTTTTCAAAATCCTCAGTAGTAGCACGGAGTCTGGAATTGTGCCCGGTATATGGCAATAGGCTCATCCCCTATTACATGGGACTCATAACATAAATAGTGAAAAGTGGGTGTTATATTGTACAGTGGCATAATGCGCACCTCTGCCTATCCCTTCGGGAATAAAAGGCGTGATGTTATGTATGTATGTATTTCATGTATGTCAGCTATTTTGTGGCTTGCTGCTAATCGATTTATATTTTTCAGTTTGCCCTTGGTGCTTATTTCTTCCTTTTCGACAATGATTACGACATCGCTGACGATCTACAATGGATGGCACTGGCATCAGTAGTACTGTACTTCATCGCTTATTTCAGTGGTACGTTTGATTAAAATGAATATTTCAACTTGATATTTATAAAGATATGAGGAAGTATGATTTAGCTTAACTAGTTTTATTTTTACCTGGAGGAGATTCATAAGTGGATTGTTATTTTGATGATCAGACGAGATATAACAATATTGTCATCAATGCTAAATACTTTTTTTAAATTCTGTTATTTGTCTGATTTCTAAAACGTAATGCTAAGTGCTGCATGCATGCGTTAGAAGCGTCCTTCTATCCTTCTTCGTATGAGAAGTGGTTTTTGCTCAGCAGAGTGCACTATAGCCTTCTGTTGTTGACTGATTTCTTCTTCGTTGCAGGTTTTGGCATCATCCCCAACGCGTTCATTGGTGAAATGTTTACTGACAACTGCAGAGGATTCAGTTCCACCTTCACTGTAACTATAGGCTGGGTTTTTGGCTTCGGTATAACGGCTGCATTTGGCTACATGCTGCCTGCCTGGGGACCCAGCGTGACGTTTTGGATCTTCGCCGGAGCTAGCGTCTTCGCCTGCTTGTTCAGTGCTATATTCGTACCTGAGACCAAAGGAAAGAGCATGATGGAAATTCAAGAGATCTTAAGTAAATGACTGTAAAAGACTGTGATATAATATTTAAGTTATAAATAAATTGTAATATAAATGTGTAGTTTTCTTTTATTTGTAGGTTTTCCTATTTACCATGTAGACTTACTTATTTCGATAAAAGTTAAAGGGCAAAGTGGATAGAGGAGATAAATAAGTTCTTTGTTGAAATGGGAATGATTTGATTAATATCAATATAGTAACATCAAAAATATACTACATAATTGTGAAGTGTTGGAATAACTAAAGTGGATAGGAATATAATAATATAAGGGTTTTATTCAACCGTACAATTCGTTATCACGTAACATACCTCACAAGTCAAAATTTGCCAAGGCCCAGAATGTGGAAAAATCATGTGTCGTGATTGTTTCCTTATCAATCGGTGGCGCTAGAGTTCAGGCAGATTCAGAAATGACTTTGCAAAATGAACTTTTACAACAGCACAGCTGATTGTACGATAAACATTGCCGGCGATATCAGCTGATGTAAAATGAAAACAATACAGGAAATACTTAATATTATCGTTAATATTTCACTCTATGCATAGAATTAGTGACATTCGATTGTAATTTATATGTATATCAGAATCCAATGTTAGACAGATAGCGTAATTCTTAAGATAATAGAGGTAAAGAATTTTGAATTTTTTTGAATCCCAGCGAATTCAAAACAATCGAATAGAAAGTCGTTGACGGAAGTTTTGAACATATCTATGAAATCTTGTACATAAACAAACAATTTAATAAAAGACGATAATAATATGGAACTGGCGTGAACAGTTCAAAAGTTCCTAAAAAAAAAGAATAAAAAAAAAACTTTAAACAAAACCATAATAACTATTGGAAAAAAAATTGAAATTATATTTTGCTTTTACTGATAGTAGAATGTCGAGACAGTCTGTTAAATAAAAAAAAAATATGCTCATGCTGATGCATAATAAATAAATGAATTTAGCTTTTTTTCCAGACACGTCCAATTAATTAGTAGTTATCAACTAATTATAATGATCAGAGAGCTAGGCATTTATATCTTTGTACAGATAAGTAATCTCTGAAACCGGTTCGCTTTCAGGATTTGACGTCTTTTATATCTTTGATTACATAAGTATATGTGAAGCAAGGTTATCCGTACTAGGATTTGCTGTAGTATTATAAATGTCAGATGAAGAAAAGAAAGAGCAAGCATTGCTCACTGGGATTGCTCAGAACGGATTGGCTATTTTTACCGACTTCAAAAAAAGGAGGAGGTACTATGTTCGGCTGATTGTTTTTTTTTTTTTTTTTTTTTTTTTTTGTTCGCGCAGTACTCCGCCATTTGTGAACCGATTTCCAAAATTCTTGTTTTGTTTGAAAGGGTATACTCCCGAGATGGTCCCATTTCCATGAGGTCAGGATCTGATGATGGGATCCTAGGGAAACCGAGGGGAACTTTCGAAAATTCTATGGGCGAGTAATGCGTCTATTATGTTTTTCAATTAGGATTTTGAAACACTACAATTTGATAAGGGTCTGGAGTTGACCTGATGATGGAGCCGACAGGCAGTCGAGGGAACTCCTCAGCGGTTTATATTAACTACCTTGAGTTTGGGCTTGATTAATTTGGATTGATGAGGACTTTACACCTAAATAGAGTAGGGCTGTCATTAAGGATCTGATGATGAAGAAGTGTAATTGTTAAAGGAACTCCTTAACGGTATACAGTAACTACCTTGTGTTTGGGCTTGATTAATTTGTATTGATTAGAACTTTGCACCTATGTAGATTATAAGTAACAAAACGGGTATATGTAGCTTTACACTGAAAATGATAAAATAATAAAATAAAAACTGCGTTTAAAAAACCGACTTCAAAAAAACCAAAAACTAATAACAAACAAAAAGTCAAAACTAAAAAGCAAAAAATAACTATGATTAGTACTGATAGATTACCCACCCACTGATAGGTTAGAAGTCGGTGCCATAAGATCATATCATAATGATATAACTTAATGTCCACATAAATGTGAATTAGGTACCTATTAAGGTTTTAATGAATAATTTTGTATGGAACTTATGGCACCGACTTCTTACCTATCAGTGGGTGGGTAATCTATCAGTACTAATCATAGTTATTTTTTGCTTTTTAGTTTTGACTTTTTGTTTGTTATTAGTTTTTGGTTTTTTTGAAGTCGGTTTTTTAAACGCAGTTTTTATTTTATGAACTTACAATTTAAAGTCTAGTTTTTTTACAAGATTTTTATTCACTTCATGTCCATAGTGATAAATATTACTAGCTGTGCCCACGACTTCGTCCCTGTGGAATAGTGATTCACAGCTCCTCCCCCGTGATAATATGAAGCATATATACTAAGTCTGGACATAGGTACAAACTGACACAAAAATTCTATAAACCATATTTTTAGCTACGATGTCGCTTGCAGATCATGCCGCAAGCATTCTTTTTAAAAAATATTTAATGTACAGTTTTCACTCTCATACGATTTTATTAAATGCATTTTTTTTTAATGGGGGAAAATCTCGAATGACTGCTCCCGCCTGGGCGAGGCGGAAGGGAGTGTCAGCCTCTTACTGACTAAAAACCACCCCGTTCCTTCTCCTGCACGTCGCGCCGGAGCCCCGGTTATCCGTTAGGTTCTCCGCGACTCCGAATCGGCAACAGCCCTATTGGGCCCCATCTGTGGTGGTCTGATGACTTTTTGAGGCGCGCGCGGAACGCGACGCGCCGTACGCTCGGGTCTGTTTCTGGTCGGACGGGGAGCCACCCATGCTCGCCGTCTTATTATATGCATAGATATCTTATACTATTATATATAAAGCTGTAAAGTTTGTTTGTTTGAATTATTAATCTCCGGAACCATTGAGTAATTCTTCTTGTGTTAGTTAGTCCATTTATCCAGGGAGGCTATAGACTATAAAAAATCACGCTGCGATCAAAGTAAACCGAGCAGAGCGGATGGAACCGTGCTGGAGACGCTAGTTATATGTTAACATAGAAAAAGTTACAAGGGGACTTCGTCCTAGTCTGTTTTGAACTCACTCATGCTTAAAACTCGGGCGCTTTGACCTGCAGGCTTCTTTAAGTGTGGGAGAGCCATGCTTCGACACAAATGGAACGGCTCGACCAGAGTGATACCACGGCCGAGCAGAAAACCGACGCTTGCGTTGTGTGTGTGTGTGTGAGAGTGTGTGAGTGAGGTTACCGGAGGCAGTCTCCCCAATCCCCGAATCCGCCATAATCCTTAAATTCCCAATTCCCAAAAGACCGGTAACGCACTTGTAATGCCTTGGTGTTCCAGGCGTCCTTGGGCGACGCCGATTGCTTACCATCAGGTGATCCGTCTGCTCGTTTACCGACTTATGTATAAAAAGACCAGAAATGAAATATACAAAATTCCAATAAAATTGATAGCAACATTCCAGCTGAAATTATTACATCAAATTAAATTTATTGTCCTGTCCTAAGTTATTAGTGAAAAAAGAAAAGCTAATATAATTTACTTTCGTCGATCAAAAGAAGCGTCACTATCGAATTAGTTAATCAGTAATTAAATCTGTCTGTATCAAACACTGAACCACCACGTGCTTAGTAAATCAGTTACAGGCTACTGACCAATAAAGCGATCAAAATTCACTGATTGTGTATACAGATTTATGAATATCTATATAATATATAGTATCTATATATATGTATATAGTCTATTGTCGTAATATATCGTATCTGATATCATATTATAATCCTGATAAAAGTAATAGGCCTTGAACAATTTGAGTGTTAAGTTCCGTATATTTCTTATAAGCTATTATTTTGTCCATTTCATCATTCATCATCATCTTTTGCAATAAAATTTGTTTTAGGACTCCTTGAGATCTTTTTGATAGGAATTAAAATTAAATAAATATATACAACTTAAAATATAAATAACTATAAACTAAAATATTTATACCTTAAAAAAAGTAATAATAATAAAAATGCTATCTTAAGGAATAAAAAAAATACTTTTCCTCGTCGCTATCGTGAGGTAGGGACCCCAAAAGACTGTCAGCATTGCCACGTTGAATTGCAATGCTTAACCTTTGTCCAAGGTAGTAGCCAGCCCTTCTATCAGCTGAAGTGTCAACCATCCTCTTAACAATATCTTTGTAAAGAAGATGTGCATTTGGGCCCCATGGCCCTAAAGTTTCAACCCCAAATGGTTCGAAAGCATAATTGCCAATCAGGCTGTCATACTTATGGTTTACAGTCTTATGGTTTTCTTTCCCAAGTGTAACTTTCTTGACCAAGGTAAGTATATTGGGTGACTCGTTCTCGTAGCGTCCTTTTTATACTGATACTCGCTGTGCTTGCACTACCCAGGTTCATGACCTTGGTCTTGCTAAAATTCATCTCCAATCCTACATCTAATGATGCGTACTAGGAGAATCTTCTGGGTCGTATGAAGAAACCGCTTTCGAACACACACTCTTTACGCAACACAAGATCTTAAATCATATTTTAAGTAGTCATCACACCCAACAAAGCGCTGTTACAAAAAAGAATCATGCAATTCACAATTTACTGCAATACAAATATCACCAATTATTTTATGTAGGTACTGTACAGTCTTACCTCAGAGAATTCCGTTCAAGAAACACCTATCACTATTAAGTTCACTGCATTACATACATATCTACACAATAATGACTGGCATTAAAGAAACTGATGATATTATATTGATAGCACAGAACCCTAATATAGTATATCTGTACAGATTCTCACAATATACGATTTACGACAAAAATATATAAGGTAATATAAAGATAAAACATATAGTCCACCTTAACGTGGAATGTAATACACACGAAGACAAGTTATATAGAAAAAAAATACACATAATTATATATTAATTTTTAATGTATATAAATTATATATTATAATTACTGTATAACTTATAAGTGTGGAACAACTGTGATATTTTAACATAAAAATGGGAGTCCAAGTTGGGATTGGAAGACAGTTCCTTATTGCAGGATGCTGTAAGTTATATATTATATTTTTTTAATAAATAAAAGTACAACATCACACACGTTTTTCGTTAAATCAGTAGGAAATATAGGACTACGGTTTTAAGTAAAATTTGTAGGTCACTTAGGGTCAGAATATTTTAAATAGGATAAGATTAGACAATTACATAAAGAAATGCGTTTTTTCAAAAAAAAAACGTTAGTCTTTTTTGGACAAATTATTGAAAAACATAAAACAAAATTACTTGAATTTATCATAAGACACAAATTGCCCGTTGGAATATTCAAAAAAATATTACATATAATATATTACAGAATCTAACAAATAAACAATGACAGTAAATAACGAATAAAAGAGGTATACTAAATGTGACGAATAATATATAAAACGTATGTATAATGAAAATATAATTAAACACGGCATAGTAAGTATCCTCATCACTTTATTATAGTCTGTATTGTTTTTGTTTATTTCTGTTTTATAAACTATCTTCCTTTTATATTTATTCTAAAAGTCGACTTTCTTGAGTATTTTTCTAACTGTGGTTATAATACAACCATAGTTAGTGACAGTAATTCAAACTCACTTTACAATGAATTTTAACTCGTAAATCTAACTTCGTGCTGACAGGATCGTGTTTACTTAAAATAAAAATGAATATGTACTTAAATAAAAATATACAATGTACATGTAACTCTCGAATGCGCCATATTGGATGTAAGTACCTTTTATTCTTCTTGTCTTCATAGTCAGACAAAGTAAGAGTTCGATAAAAAAAATAAAAAGTCGCCTGGGCAAAGCCGGAATATATACATCTCGTAATTAAGTAATGTTAGTTGGTATCGATTTACAGATTATCTTATGCAATAAAATAATTAATTACACATTATATATATTCTTTTCATAAATTATCTAAATGATCACACCCGAGCGTAATGATTGATTCTAGTAAATATATACATAAATACAGTGTACACCTGACTAAAGAACGTTTGAATAAAAAAAAGGACGAAAAGGAAGTAAAAAATTAATCTCAATTAGGCGTCAATGTTCTCGTCCCAACGTTCCTCAGTGACAGTGATGCACAGACACAGGGGAACGTTCCCAGAACACTGACAAAATTCGTATAGTTCTGTGAGTGAGTATTTCGGACTCGTAAAGAAAACCTTTTAGCAATATAACCAATACCATTGCACCAAACTTCATCAATTTTAACTTTAGAAGTAATATTCTATATCCAATATTTAAATCATCTTCTTTCTTTGCTCCTATGTCTAAAACAGCTTCTATTCTTTCAAAACTTTCACATACTCTTTCCAATTTCTTTCTTTATCTTCTTCAATTATACTTAATTTTCCTTTTTTATATTTTCAGTGTACATTGGCCAGATCCTGGTTGGTTACACCATGGGATGGACAGCTCCAGTGCTGGCCGAACTCCAGAGCCCAGATCAAACTGTGCTGGACTCCGTATTAACAGTAGAACAAGGATCCTGGATGGTGTCAGTCGTATTTATAGGAACTATTACAGGTTCGTAGTACGATTTGTTTATTTATCTTCAAATTAATAGGGTACTTGCAAACTAATCAAATTCAATACCATTTTCGAACTGTCTAAAACGACAGTTGTCTATGAATTTTGTACAAGATTGTGTATTATGACGTCACGTTTTTTTAAAGTCAAACAGCATACCTATTACGTAAAATTTTGCTGGAAAAATATTAAAATTCAATTGGTCATAAAATCGATTAATGAAAGTGTGATTATTTTTTAATATTTTATTGTATTGAACAGTCGAAATAATTTATTTTTGATTAAGGCAAGTGCCCAATTATTAGGTCTTAACACACTTTTCAATCACCAAAGAAATAGGCATAGGACGTCGAATGCTGAACATAGGCCTCCCCCAATGACTTTCAGATAGGCCGTTTAATTACCATACATTGGCATTGACCAGAAGCAATTCTGGACGCTACGGTGTTTTTTTAAAAACTGTTGAAAATCCTAACAAGCGTCTAACCGACCTCGATATAAGAATTGATCTCTCCAATACTGGATCAACCAAAATCTCTAAGAACCAAAGCTGTACAAACCACATTTGAATTGTTCTTAGCTTATTATCAAAAATACTTAACATTCATTCTAGAATTCAGTCATAACGTAATGTTACCTTTCATTTTATTTTTTAGGTCCCTACGTCTCCGGGTACCTCTGTAATGTGATAGGCAGAAAGCCTTGCCTGTACATTGGGGGTGTCTTCATGACCCTGGGCTTTTTAATACTAGCATTAGCTAACCAGCTAGCTATGTTATACGCTGGCAGAATTGTTGTGGGATTCGGCAACGGAATGTTGTTCGTCACAAATCTCGTCTACCTTGGAGAATTAGCGTAAGTACTCTTTCAAATTACTATTTTGATTATTATCACCTACCATTTCTATTACTACCACAGCACAGCTAAACGCCACACTTTAACGACCAAACAACTGGTGAAACTCAAGCCTCCACTAGCGTCAGGCATCAGTGATTGACTGACGTGGCACTCTAAGGGTTACATATAAAACTTCATCATTCATCATCATGATCATCAATAACATTCGAAACCCTGATAAAACTACTGGACTATGAACCTGCTCTACATACTCTCGTATATAGATGAGTCCAGTTTAGTTTTCCTTAATCTATATCCTTAGTCCTTAGCAAGCAGGTTGGAAATAACAGTTTAACTCGTCGAGTACCGGTTTTGTAGACACAATTATACATTTAAAAATACAAGGGAATTCATAGGGCCGCAAACGTTTCGGAAGTTCGATAAACACAACATAACATAACGCCTTTTATCCCCAAAGGGGTAGGCTTATAGAACAATAGGTTGCTGTCACCGGTGACCGCTTGGTGTTTGACAGTTTAATACATGGTTCAGGTTTATCAAGTACATGCCATACATATAACATTGTCGTTACCTTCTCAAGCACCATAATAAAACTTACTTCTCCATTTCTCAGGTCAACACATATTCGAGGTACATTACTAACACTGACCGGATTCTCCAGTACATTTGGAACTCTAATAGCATATGTTGTGGGCCCGTACGTGTCCTTCGCTGCGATTGGTTGGCTAGCCGTGGCTATTGGGGTTGTTTACATCATTGCTTTATTCTTTTTCGTGCCTGAAACCGCCGTCTATTTCGTCATGGCCGGTAAGATTCCTTAAATAGTTTTCAATACAAAATGGACAAAGTGTCTAATCAGCCAGTCACGTGAGAAGATTAAAGTAAATCCTCTCATATAGAGTTTAGCGATGGACTGTTATGGGCTGATGATGGTCACTTCTGTTATCTTAGACAACACATTCATGTGAATATGCTCATCATTCATTATACTAGAATTAACAACCCATTTTAATTTCCAGGCAAAAAGGACCAAGCGATGGAACTCCTCACATCACTGGGCAGAAAAGACGACATAGATGATGTTGTGGCTAAAGCAAATGAGAAACCAATGTCAAACAAAGATCAGATGGCTGAAATGTTCACTATAAAGTCAAATAGAAAAGCATTATTCATAATTATCGTTCTGAACATTGCCCAACAAGCCAGTGGTGTGATTGCTGTGATTTCGTTTGCTACGACCATCTTCGAGTTGACCGGATCATCTATGGAGCCCCATATATCCACCATAATTGTTGGAGTCACACAAGTTGGTGCAGGCAGTATTGCACCTCTATTTGTAGATAGAACTGGAAGAAAGATATTATTGTTAATCTCTACCGCTGCTTGTTCTATAAGTTTGGTAAGTTCTTCATCATTCGCATCTTTGTCGCGTATACCTTTGTTTATATTCTTGTTGTCTTACTGTAAGTCGATATGACTATAGAAAAGTATAAATTTCTACGTGGTCACTTAGTGCGGACCTAACTATTAACACTACTTATAACGACCATCGGATCAACTAAAGTCGCAAAACTGATATGCATATTTAGTTTTTCAATAATGCAAGAATTTATTCAAGTTCAGGTAACAGAACTTTCTTCTCTAAATTGATTTATACATATATATAGAATTTTATGTACCGAATCGAATCTCAGTGGGAATAAATATATATTTTTAGTCCTACGGTACATTTCATATTTCTGACACATTTTGTTATTTTACAGATTGCTCTTGGTGTTTACTTCTTCCTGTACGATAACGGTTACGACATCGCTGACGACCTGCAATGGATGTCGCTAGTCTCACTTGTGCTATACTTCATCGCTTATTTCAGTGGTACGTAGATCTATTGAATTATACATAATTTTTGACTGACGAACAAAATTGTTGAGGGGCAAACGCTCGCTGTTATTACCCAATGGTGTTCAATGCGTTAGTAGGACAAAGACAGATTAGATATTTTAAGATAGGAGACAAAGGTTTAAAATGTAATATTCTAATTTATTCATAATAGTCAAACTGATAATTTGATTAGTGAGGCTTAAAATTAAGAAGACTACGTCAAAGAGAAGAGCGATATCTAAATCACACTTCTATTCCTTCGTCTCGTTCTACTTCATCCACCAGAAACTTAAGTTCACCTTCATTGCAGGATTCGGTATCATCCCCAACACGTTCATCGGAGAAATGTTCACTGACAACTGCAGAGGATTCAGTTCCACCTTTACCGTCACAGTTGGATGGGTCTTCGGCTTTGGAATAGCAACTGCATTCGGATACATGTTGCCTGCTTGGGGACCGGCAGTAACATTCTGGATCTTCGCTGCAGCTTGTGCGTTCGCCTGCTTGTTTAGCGCAATATTCGTACCTGAGACCAAAGGAAAGACCTTACTAGAAATCCAGGAGATCCTCAGTAGATGAACAAACTGTGATATTAAATTTTAGTTTATTTTATTTGTTTGTTACGTTTCTATATTAAAATGATGGATGTTATCTTTTTGAACTTTATCTTGTGTAAACGGGTTGTCGCACGATTGCTTTGTTGTATTTAGTTGTACAATTCTATTCTGTTTTTATTACATTAATAAATCTGACAGTTACTGATCGGCCTGTTTCTACTGTCAATATTGGTTTTTAAAACATTGTTAAGATCATTGGCATGATAGAGTGGTGATATTGTAAGAGTAATTCTTATCTCCAGATTTTTTACGACTGTAACTTCTTCAACTGTAGTTGTTAAAATATTTAAAGCTACTATAAACCGTTTGTTTTATTGTATTGTATATCATCTCTAGCCTAAATAACATTGTCTACGGAATAAAATAACTAATTAATTACCATGTACAAATTAATTAAGTTGTAAATAATAATTGTTTGGATACTGTAAATTTGTAAGTGTATGAATGTGGATTAATGAAATAAATATTTTTACTTTTTTTTCTTTGTATTCAATATTCATTCTGTACCTCTTCTATTCGATTCTGTACCTACCATTTTCCCATGGCAGAACATGCATTTGTCCTCGATAGGAATACACATTAAATATTATAAAGAAAAAAATATATTCAAGAGGACAAACGAGTAAGCTGATCAACACCCTCCCCCGAATCCTCAAATCTCTTATCCCCAATAGACCGATAATGTCTAAAAATACTGACGTCGAGGCTGTCCAAGGGCGGCGCCAATTGCTTACCATCAGGTAATGGGTTACCATCTACTCATTTGCCGAGCTTGATATACCCTAACAAAGCGTATTATTTGAAATTTCAGAAAATATACTCAAAAATGTTTTTATCTTGAGATTAAATTAATACTGTTAGTTTATTTACCGTATCTTCTGTCGCATAGTGTGTTACACAACAAGAATTTTAATATTGCACAATATATTGCAATATTTTAATACGACGCTGAAAAGTGCGAAAACGATAAATATTTTTCTTTTCTTTTGTATAGAATATATCATTTTTGATCAGGTAGTCGAGGTTTTAGCCGGTGATAACTAGTATAATGGTTTTAAACATTGTCATGTTGTGTAGTGGTAATTTTATTACAAGCATCATATACGTGTTACATCCTATATATAGAGACATTGTAGAACATACTTTTTTAAAAAGAGTATCGAATGGAGTTTCTTGCTCGTTCTTCTCCATTCGAATCTACATTTTGGAATGAGCACCTACCTTCACCTAGCTTCACTAACGGACTGACTGACAGACTATTATTTATTTTGTACTAGCTTTTACCCGCGGCTTCGCTCGCGTCACAAAAGGATAAAATGTAGCCTATGTGACATATACCAATACACACAACGCCATCTATACCAATACTTTTGTTTTCTCTCGGAAATATCACTTTTTCCGGGATAAAAAGTACCCTATTATTTAATCTGGACTCCTGACCTTTACGTCTGCAAAAAATCAAAGCAATCGGTTTAGTAGTTACGGCGTGAAAGCAGAACAAACAAACAAACTCACTTTCCGATTTATAATATTAGTAAGGATAAGGATAGTAAGGATTTGTTGACGTTTCAAAAGTACCAAATTATGGTTTAATTGAAATAAATGCATTGACTTTGACTTTTTCATCTATATACATAAAAATGAATTTCTGTTCATTAGTCTCGCCAAAACTCGAGAACAGCTGAACCGATTTGGGTAATTTTGGTCTTGAAATGTTCATGGAAGTCCAGGAAAAGGTTTAAAAGGTGAGAAAAACTATTATATGTGGTACGAAGTTTGCCAGTTCAGCTAGTTTTCAAATAAAAATTTCAAACACATTTTTATAATTCAGAGGTCCATGCTTCGGTACGAATGGACCGGCCCGACTGGAGTGATTCATTATCATCATCAAGAGCCTAATAAGTGGCCACTGCTGACCAAAGGCCTCTTCTCATTCGGATAAGGTTTGAGCATTAATCACTACTCTTGCATAACAATGGACCTCCGGTAACCTCACTCACACGAGGAAACACAACGCAAGCGTTGTTTCACGTCGGTCTTCTGTGAGGCCGTGGTATCACTACGGTCGAGCCGGCCCATTCGTGCCGAAGCATGGCTTTCTCACAATTTTAAAAGGCCGGCAACGCACCTATGACTCTTCTGGTGTTGCAGGTGTCCATGGGCGGCGCTGATCGCTTACCATCAGGTGACCCGTCTCCTAGTTTGCCTCCGATTCCATAAAAAAAAAATACATAACATAATATCACGCCTTTTATCCCCGAAGGGATAGGCAGAGGTGCACATTACGGCACTTAATGCCACTGTACAATGTAACACTCATTTTTCATTATTTATGTTATGAGTCCCAAGTAATAGGGGGTGCTATATACGGCACATTTCCAGACTCCGTGCTACCACTGAGATTTTATTTTTAGAAAACCCAGTAATACTTTGCCCGAATCCCTTGCAGCAGTCCTTGCCTTGGCGGTCTCACAATTTTAATGTAATATAATAGTGTTAAATTAAGTCTAAATGAACGTAGCGACCGAAATTCGCTGATATAATTATGGTAATCGTGTCGTGTTGCTCTGAGATAATACCTAATCGTTACGTTAACTATCTCTAGCTATCTACTATGGTTATCATTGTTAAACATTTGTTTTTTATCTACATATTTCAATGTTTTAATACTCTTGAACTAGGATATCAAATTATCTTTCTACGTTTGATTTTAGTCTTGGGGAAGGTCAGGTTGGGAAGGTCAAGCCGGAATGTAATCATACCATAACAGAACTTGGATTAGGAAATAGGTTATCCCACTAGTTATACATACATCGTAAAATTTATTTCGTTTTCGTCCCAAAGTAAAATGGTTCTGTTTCGGTAATACAATTATTTACAAAGAAATAAAATGTTTAAAACAAAAAATAAGTGCATATGTACTCATAGTACATTATCAAAACATCACGCTGTTTTTTTATGGTTTAACTCGTCGAGTACCGTCATTATAGACACAATTATAGAACAATAGGTTGCGGTCACCGGTGACCGCTTGGTGTTTGACAGTTTAAGCCGGTAAACCTGTCTCCCATGGGGGTAGGCAGAGACTATTATACGCCAATTGCTACGATCCTTACAAACCTCTTTCTTTCTTTATATTGTTGACGGAGCAAAATATCTCACTTATCATTGATAAATTTCTCTCAAATCATAAATTATAGTTTGAATAGATGGCGCTTAAAAATACTTCAGTGGTGCCATCTAGTTTTTTTGCCGAACACTTTGTTAACTAAGTTGAATGCTTTCATTCTCCTTCTATACGTTGACTTTTTCTTTAGTTTAGAAGTCACATAAATGTAAGTTCGATTCCCTGTTAAGGGAAGCCTATGTTCAGGAGTGAAAGTTTTGTGACTGTATTTATTGTCGTGTTGAGAATGATGAATATAAGTTTGACCGGTTTAGTGTTGCTTCAGACTTTTTATCCCCGAAGGAGTAGGCAGAGGTGCACATTTCGGCACTTAATGCCACTGTACAACGTTACACCCACTTTTCACTATTTACGTTATGAGTTAAATGTAATAGGGGGTGAGGCTATTGCAATATACCGGGCACATTTCCAGATTACGTGCTACTACTGAGATTTTTATCAACCCATTAATACTTTGCCCGACCCGGGAATCGAACCCGAGACCCCTTGCCCGGCAGTCGCACTTGCGAGCACTCGGCCAATGAGGCAGTAATATTTATTTATATATATCTCGGAAATATACAAATTTATATCTATTCCTTTTGTTCGATAATCATTGCTTACCTTTTTTTCCAATATGGAATGGATCACAACCGGCAGATTATCAAACTGATCACGCAGAAATCCAGTGAACAAGATTAAGACTAGTCTGCTATAGGAGACGAAACGACCTTGTTTTTATATTTCACCATTCATCTCTTCACAGCGTAGAATGACTGTACAATCTATGTACTTAATGTTTCATAGTGTTACATACAAAATACATAAAGAAAATAGATAAGATGAGACTATAAATGAGCACAAAACACTCTGTTATTGTTTCAGTACGATGATTTTCATCTCTTATGCTAGACGTGATGTAGTATTAAGTATATAGTTTAATATTATAATATAAATATTTGTGTATAATATAATAATGGGTGCTGTAAACAATACGAGTTTGCGGATGCAATATGTGGTAGCAGCGTGCTGTAAGTGACTTGACTTTATTACCTAAGTATACTCTGTATTTGTCGCGGAGAACCTAACGGGTAACCGGGGCTCCGGCTCGACGTGCAGGAGAAGGAACGGGGTGGTTTTTAGTCAGTAAGAGTCTGACACTCCCTTCCGCCTCACCCAGGCGGGAGCAGTCATTCGATGATTTTCCCCCCTTAAAAAAAAAAATACTCTGTATTTGAGACATAAAAACTTCATCTAAAATGTTTACGATTAGTAGTCGGCTTCCTTTTTATTTCTGACTACACGGTTGGAGCGGTAGCTGGGCAACTGGGTGCTACGCAACGTGTCGCGGGTTTGATTCCGGCACGAAACAACTCTTTTTATGTTCCACAGATTGTTGTTCCGGGTCTGGGTGTCATGTGCATGTGAACTTGTATGTTTGTAAACGCACCCACGACACACGAGAATATACAAGTGTGGGGCAACGTTTAAAAAAAAAAGAACAGATACTGTGAGTTTAATAACGTAATTAAAGAAACGTAGTTAAAATACTCATTTGCTAAATGGAAAACCACAGGTATGATGTTATCATTAAACAGATCAGTAAAATTAAGATGTTTTTTTAAATTATAGCCCTAGCCCTGTGATAAGCCTTTACAGTATAATCGAAGATGTAAATTAAAAAGGTTGAATAGATTAGGATTTTTTCACTTGTATATTATACTGCTTCTCAACTAGCTCGCCGGCGTGGTCACAAGAAAAAGGAGACTCCTAAAACCATGTTTAGACGAAATGATAGATTTTCCAATTATATTAAAAAAAACTTATCTAACACTTTAAACGCCATGGGAGCTACTGGTGACCGACGTTAGCTAAGCATTCAACAGAATTTTGACTGCCTAATGGATTTGATCTAAAACAAATTTTGTTTCTCTTTCCAGTATACATAGGACAGTTTGGAATAGGCTACAACCTCGGCTGGACAGCACCAGTGCTGGCCAAACTCCAGGATCCTGAGCAGACACCGCTGAATGACATCATAACTGATGGCATGTCTTCCTGGATCGTTTCTTTCATTTATTTTGGGACTATTTCGGGTTAGTAAGACAGAATTATTATTTTTCTAGAATTATTTTTTTGGTATGGATCTTCGTAAAGTAACGCCTGAGTTAAAAGTGTGGGAGAGTCATGCTTCGGCACGAATGGGCCGGCTCGACCGGAGTGATACCACGGCCTCACAGAAACCGACGTGAAGCAACGCTTGCGTTGTGTTTCGTCTTGTGAGTGAGGTTACCGGAGGTCAAATTACCCTTCACTTCCTCCATCTCCCCAATCTCTGAATCCCCAACCATCCTCAAACTCCTAATCCCCAAAAGGCCGGTAACGCACTAGAAACGCCTCTGGTGTTCCGGGTGTCCATGGGCAACGCCGATTGCTTACCATCAGGTGATCCGTTTGCTCGTTTACCGGCTTATACCATAAAAAACGCCTAATTCTGCTCAGTATGAGAGTCTCTCAATAATTAGTAACCTAAAGCAGACCCGTTGAATGGTTATAGTGTTTCATGAAAATAACATCACAAGTGTCAATCTACCTCATTACAATGTAAGTATTTTATCTAAAGACCATTTCAAATAAATTTAGGATCTCTGTCTTATTTTTTAAATAGTTGTGATCTCATGTTTCTGAGATTTTTAGTCTGTTCTTGCTCGCAATTTTCATTACTGAAGATCGTTGAAAATCCTTCATTACTTTCTGTGATAATTAACTCCTTCAACTTCGTTCGGTATTTTGCCTCTTTCATAGCAGCCAGTTAAGAAACGGGAGCTGAACTTATCATAAACAAATATGATGAACACATATGTCATTGTTGTAAAATATAAATATAAATATTATTTAGAT